CCTGCAGAAGCGCGGGGTGACCGGCTAGCGCAAACAGGCGAGGCGTGGGGGACAGGGATCTTATCGTTTACTGTAGTGTGGCTCGGGCTTAGCTGGCTGGGGAGGTTCTCGGGAAAGGACGAAAGAGCAATTTCTTCTGTGGCTTCAAAATGTGTACCCGGGACATGACTCGCACCTTTCCACCCTCACTGTGGATTGTTTTACCGTTTTGCTTTACCGTTAATTAACTGTCTGCTTTTGGGGGAAATGGCGAATGGGTAAATTCCTGTAGTGCAACAGCGCGGTGGACTGCCACCGCCGACCACAGATGTGAACGCTAAATACCAAACAGCGAGTTTTCTACTGTGCACTAACATTTTGAAAATGCAGATGAGCAAAGCATTTATGCGTTCACGATAACGTACTTCCAAAGTGTATGTGTTTTACAGAGAGAACTAGAGGTGTGGGTATTCATCACATGTATATAGGCAATGTGAATATGGATGTATATACATATATTGGTAACGCAAGTATAGTTTACATAACTCTTCTATCTCCTCGACATATTTCAAAATAAACCCGGAGTTTTGTTGTTGSGTTTAATTTCGAGAACTCATCCCCCGTTTAGCCCCCGATGATTTCCACGTGGGTAAGTAGCCATACTGCGGGCGTGCACTCCTGGCCGTGTCTCGGCGCAGCCGCCCCCGCGCTGTGACTGCTGAGCCCGTCCCGTATTCTGCCCACCGAACCGCTCGGAGCCGCCGCCCTGCCTCCGCGCTACAGCGGGACAAGGATGTGAGAAAACGTYCCGGCGGGGCAGGCGGGGGCTCCGGGGCTGACCCCGGGCACAGTCCCCGGCTCGGCGGAGCCGCCCCGCGCCCTCCGCCCCCGCGGGAGCACTGACCTCCATTCTCCTGCGAAAACACCTGTTAAGCTTTAAAGTTACGCGACCGCCCTTCCGCTATGGGGAAAATAAACCGAAGCATCACCACAGCACGCTTCAGGCTGCCAGGGGGGAAAGTATCCCAAAAAAGGAGGGCCTTTTATTGGAAGAAACCCCACCGGCAGCCGAGGCGCTGCCTGCGCGCACTGCACCCCAGTCTTCTGCCCCTCACCGCGGAACGCCGAGACATCGTAGCTCGCGGCGCATTTTCTGTGAGAGACTGAGCGCAACAGCCGCTCTCACTCTGCGGCATGCCTACAGCCATGATTAATAATAATAACACTACCGATAATTACAATAGCAATAACAGCAACAACAGACATAGTGGCAAAAATAGTTCTAGCAATATTAAAAGGAAGAATAAGGGTTTTCGAGAGACAGGTGACCAAGAGGGGCAGGAGAGCTGGGGAGCCGGTGCCGTGCCCCATATTGCGGASTACCGGCGACCAGCCCGAGAGGAACTGCGTGCTTACCAGTTCGCGGTATTGCCCGCCTGCGGAGAAGCCCGTGAGGGTCGCTGTAATCCATTTTGCACCCGCGTAGCAATCCGTGTGCCGGAGGAGATAGCGGCAGCGGGGGCATCGAGCGGTGGGAGAGCAGTGAGCGGTTGCAGGCGGCGCGGCGGCTGGCGCGGGTCTCCGCGCATCCCTCCGTGGGCGCGGGAGAGGAGGCGGCGTGGGGCCGGGGACGTGTCAGTGCGGCGGCAGCGGGACCGGCCGCGGATTTGGGGGAGCGGGACACAAACATGAGGGCGACTGCCATACACCTCAGCCTAGACAAAGGTTAGAAAAAGAGGGGCTGAGGCTCTCTGAAGGCAGAATGCAGGGGGAAATTCGCCAGGGAAATCAGGAAAAGGCCATGAAAGCGCTCGCTGCCTGCACATGACCAACCGCAGCCAATGACGAGCCCAAATAGGTCATAAAAAGGTCTATTACCAAGTTGTAAATTTTCTTCAAACAAAAAGGAATTTACTGCAATTCCTTGCGGATTTTGCACATACTGCTTCCCAGCGCCATGTTTCTTTCGCCTGCGCGCTGCGCTTTTACTGAGTCTTCGGTCCCGCCTGCCCTCGGCCTGCGCGCCACGGGCGCAGTAGCGGAGCCCCGCCAGCACGGCCGGGACGCGGAAGATCCGCGCGGGCCGTGGAGAGAGGGGCAAGCGGTCGTGGAGCAGCATAAAGAGGGGCAGGGCACTCTGCCAAAGGATCCGTTTCTTGCCCAAACGAAAGGGGGCTTAACCCTCATCCCCACCCTCTTCCCCCACCCCTCACCACCGCTCCGCCGGGCACTAAAAGAAACTACATCTGCTTTAGCGCCCACTACTGAAGCGGAAGCCGTCGCCGATATAAAAATAATCCGAGCCTCTTCCCCATCCCGCAGTGTGCGGGTCCCGCAGGTTGCGCCGGGCACTGTCACTGCGCCCAGAGCAGGCTGCCTCCGCCCCCGATAAAAGTTTTCCGGGGCACCAACAGGGAAAATCCTATTCCTAGAAAGTATTCTAAAAAATTTAAAATGGGCCTGTGTCCACAAAGAATACTCAGCTCGGAGACGGAGTACTGTGGGCGTTTCTTGCTCAAGTTTTGTCTCAGGGAATAGCCAGAGCCCTCCATCCGCGACCTCCGTGCTGATTGTAACTGCTAACAAAAGTATAAACACTCCTAAAGGTGTAGGATCGATGTTGTATCTTTTTAATCTCTTTAATCCTTCAGGCAGTTTTGCACACCTTTGAATATCGCACCCGTGCCCTTTCTCCCTCGACGGAGGCAACGAAAACTTGCGCGTTGTCCCTGCGGCACTCACGGCCGCGCTGAGCTGCACCTCAAGGAAGCGGAGAAATTCCGCGGAAACCAAAGGCGCGGCACATCCACTCTGCGGCCGTCTCAGGCGGCCTCTCGCCGCCGCTCCCCCTGCAACCCGCKCAGCTACGGCTTTTCCTTGCCAAAAATCCGATGGCTCTGGTTTTACAGGGGCTATTAGTGGCCTCCTGGGTCAGTTTCTGAATAGGTTTACTTTTTTCTTAGCAAGTTTCCAAGTAAGACMGAAGGAGAGACTCAGATGCCAGGCTACAGGGGTAAATACCTCAACAAATGCAGCGATGTTTTGTTTTTCTTAATAAATAAGATAGGGGAGATTCCAGTTACCACTAGGCCTTCGCCGATTATGGGCGCTCAAGKAAGCCAGTTTTTGTCTGCGTGGCTGCGTTCCCAGTAGGTCCTAGGAGATCGACGCTAACGGAAACTTCTTCAGGAATATTTTARTTTTATTCTCTTTGTCTGGTAATTAAAAACAACTACCGCAGCAGCGTAGCAGCTCTTTTTTTCCGGACAAATACTAGCCTAAGGAGTGCTCCGCTGGGGTGTGAAGCTCTTCGCCGTGCCTTCGCCTCGCGGTCAGCCCGGGATGGCAGAGGGTGACACCAGCGCGGCTTTCCCCGCAGCAGGGCCCGCCAGAACCATGTTGGGTCCAGCCTCCGCCGCTAGTGCAGCGAAGGCAAGAGGCTTTTCCTGCCCGGAGACCAAATATGCCGGTGTCACTAGCGCGAGTATTGTTTTGCAAAGCGAGGGGGTTTTGTGCGTCGGGCCACTGGGTTACTTTAAACGCGCAGCCACTAGCCCTACAACCTCCTTTGACTCTACGGATAGCGGTGTATTTATGCAAATCCATGCAGCAAAAATGTTTACTTCATCGCTTTGTTGCAGCTTCCCCTTGTTTACAACCTTTAGCCAACTAGGCAATTAAAACCAAGAACAATAGCTCCGCTTGCTCGTGCCTCCCTCCAGAGCTGGCGCTTTGCGGCGGTGGAACGTGCCTGCCTCGGTGGCGGGGAGAGGGAAAGAGGAAGGGAGACGAAATGAACCAAACGCGCCCTACAAGTGCTGTCCCCGTGAACCGCGGTTCTCGCCGCTCCGGGTGCATTCCCGGAAGCGAAGCGGTGGATGCGATAGAAGGGCCCAGCGGCCGGCGGGCAGAGCGGCGGCCGGCACCTCCTCGGGAACCTGGCTGGGATTTTCCGAGCGAAAATCCCAACACCTCGGCTCAGCCCCGGCCTCGTCGGGAGAATCCTCTTTTCTGGGCAGATAATAGAATTATATCTCGTATTTGTYGTAGTTTCTGACACGTTCATTCGATTTCCTTCACGGAGCCATTACTCAGGGGAGCGTCAACCGGCAGGGAAAAAAATGACACAGAAATCTTTATATATACCGCGTCCCTCGCCCCTCAGCCTGCTGCTCCTAAAAAGGACCACTCTCGGCCGTCCTGTTAGATACCGCACTCTGCGGGACCCCGTCGCGGAGCGGGAGCAAGAGGGAAGGGAGAGTGAAGAGAAATTAGACTGCTTTGCTAATCAGAGCAGATCTCTCCTCCCGTGGTTGCGGGAATCGTGCGGCACTGTCTTCACAAGCTGCGGCCTCCGCTGGGAAACGCATCATATGATAATATTTAGAGGGGGAAACCTTCTTTGTCTCTACTCATGATTTGGTACTCCTAAAACTTACAGCCCTCGAGAAACCCGCATGCAAGGTCGCAAAAGCTTTACATTTCTCTGCTTGTCAGCCATCCCCGGAGGAGGCTAGGCCCGTTTGAGGTTTATGTGGTTTGCGTGGCGGGGCTGGAAATCCCGCACTGCTTGGAGCAGCCCTTGGGGCTGGCGTGGGGCCGGAGTACTCTCCGGGCTCGTCTCCCTCCAACCGGGCTGGCAGCAAATGGCTCCGCGGGAAAAGAGGCAGCGATCCCCTGCACCGCCGCCCCGCAGCCCAGCCCCGCTGCGGTTAGTATAAGGTGAAAGCACGGCCTGGGCGCACTCGCCGGGGACTCCCTGGGCCGGCCCGCAGCGTGGACTCAGCTCGCAGGTGGGGCCGCAGTCTCTGCTGGCTGCAACTTGGACTACGGCCCCGCAGCGCTCGGGGCAGGGGGCAAAAGRCAGGTTTTGTACGCAATGTGCCATTCCCAGACCCCACAGAAACACCCAGCATCGGAGAAGAGAACGGGGGAGGGCGCAGCAGAGGGTTAGTCCGGACCAGTGAAAACTCTGAAGGYTGAGGAGTCGATTACAAAAGGGATATAGGGATGCCGATACATTTTATAATTGAATAAATTCGGTTTATTTTAATCAAATATTATAGAAGAAGGTTAAATATATTTCTAAGATATTTTCTTCAAGATTATTAAATTCATTTAATTTATTCGACATAAGAACAAGAATTAAAATAGTACAAGTGCACTTGTCTTGATTAATAAAGCGTTGTTAAATGTCTTGCTTACTGATATTTATTATTAGGAAGTTTATGTCGTTTCCCACAATCACCGTCTTTTAAGATTGCAAATATATATATACTTATATATCATTAGAAATTTATTGCTACAAACTCTGTATCAAATTTGCAAAAATAAGTAGATGAAATGTTAAATCTAGACATCGTTCCGGATACACTTATAAACAAAATAAAAGCACAAACAAGTGAAGCACCCGAAGCAGGGAAATGTCAAACGGAGGGACACGGGGCCACTCGTCCCACAGCAAGATCACATACAGGGGTAGATAAGCTGAGATGTCGGGCTTTTGCCCTGGTTATTTTTGATTGACTTTCACAAAGAGTTTTCGGGAAAAAATTAATTCGTCTGGCCATCGGCTCTGTCTTCTTCCAGATCATGTGCTTCCTTTTTGGCCTCCCCTTCCTTGCCCTCCTGTCTGGAAGCGGGGAATTTGTCCTTGTTGTTCTCTTTTTTCCATTTCATCCTCCTGTTCTGAAACCAGATCTTTACCTGCCTCTCGGTGAGTCCTAGTGCGTGGGACACCTCGATCCTTCTCTTCCTGGTCAGATAGGGGTTAAATAGGAACTCCTTTTCCAGCTCTAGAGTCTGGAATCGGCTGTATGTTTGTCTTCCTCTCCTCCTACCCGGCGCTGCTGTTTAAAACAAAAACATAGGGGTTTGGAGGTTTGCTTGGCCCTTCAAAACAGRGCACAGGCAGGCAACGAGGACTCAGGTCCCTCTGGAATCCCTCGAGAGAAGCCCCACAGAACCGCAGGGAGAGAAAGCAGAGGGCTTTACACACGAATGAGAGAAAAACAGCCATAGTAAATGCACGAAGCGCCTCAGCTGTCCCTCTGCACAGGATGTTGCGGGGTCACTTTATTATCTTCTATACCACCCCCTTCCCGACCCTGCACCCTTCTCGTTCAGGCAGCGGCGACGGGAGACAGGCGAGCGTGTCAGCTGCGCCGCGGAGTCCGAGAGGCGTCTTAAAGGCTACTCTTGGGTTGGCAGCTGCCGGCTGCAGAGGTTTCTGTTTGCTTACTGCGTCCCTTTATTATCGCAAGCCACAGCGGTGATAGGAATCGCGATGAGAGGTAGGGAGTGGGGGAGACAGAGGCAGGGAGCRGTAGTCAGCGAGAAAGAAGAAGAAGGAGGAAAAGAAAGTTTCAAACTCAGACGTGAGATGGAAGCAAATTTTTGACTGCGTCCAACCTTGTGGTCTCATCCAGGGAAACATTTGAGCAGGAGACGAGCTCTGATTTAAGTGGTCTGGTTCCTCGCCAATATTAGCACTGGACGATTTACAGTCAGGATATTGTACCAGCTCGGCCTCTTGCTGTGTCGTAAAAATCTGCTGTCTCTGTAAGTTATCGTATCCGTAAAATTTAGCGGGCTCCCCGTGACAGGTAACCCCGCTGCAGGGGGCAGGAGGCGGAGGCGCGGCGGGGGGAGGAGGAGGCGGCTGGTAGGCGGCCGTGGGGCTCCCCCCGGCCGGGTGGTAAAAGTCCGCGGCCGCGCCGCCGCCGCCCCCCGCCCCGCCGGGCCCGGGGTGCGGGAAACCGGCGGCGGCCGCGCCGTTCCCGTAGAGCAGAGCGGCGGCRGCAGCGGCGGCGGCGGCAGCGGCGTGTCGGCCGCTCACCTCGGGTGCGAAGTGACAGTCGTAGTACGGGGAATTGATGGCCTCCCCCGCCGCCGCCGCCGCGGCCGCCGCCGCCTTGTACTTGGAGTACAGCGGGTTGACAAAGTAGGAGCTCATCGGGGAGGGGGCAGCGGCGGGCGGGGGCGCGGGTACAGGGCGCTGCTCACGCCGCCGCCGCCGCCGCCGGTGCCTCTACGCCGCGCTCATGCCGCCGCCGCCGCCGCCGTCGCTGGCCCGTGCACTCCCCGCTCCTGCTCTCCGTGTATGTGGTGACCAGGACTGGATTATAATCGCTCCCAAAATGACCTGCCTCACTGCTTTTACTATTTCCTATTAGGCACACAGCAGCCCGCGCACGCACACACACACACACACACACACGCTCATGAGCTCAGGGGGGACTTTTGGCTTCAGTTTACATGTGCCGCTCCTCGGGCAAGAAAAAAACCCGGCACAGCCCTGCCCGGATCCACCCCGGCCGCGGCAACCCCGCTCCCCCCTCCGGTGTGCGCTCGCCAGGAGCTGCTGAAAACCCCCGCCGCGCAGGGGCGAGGCGGCCGCGCAGATCCCGCGCGATAACCGCAGGCGCGCTGCCCGGGGCGACGCCGCCCGGTTCACCCCGGCTGCACTGCCCGGAGCGCGGCCTGCACCGCCGGCCSGCAAGGGCAGAGCCCCTCAGAGGGAGCCGATGCCCCTCGCAGGGTCTTCGGGGTGCAAGCGAGGGCAGTGGGGTGCCCTAGGGCGACAACGTGCAGCGGCCGGGGCCCCTTGCCAACGGGCCCTCCGGGTCATTTCCTTCCAGGCGAGCAGATCGCTGGGAAATGAGATGCACATTTACCCTTGACGCCGTGCACGCATGGCTGAGGCTCCAGGTTAATTGATACTTAATGGAAATCATGCCTATGAATATACTTTCCATCATTTCACCCTTGGTGGACGTCATTACGGAGGCAAAGAGAAGGAGGAGGAAAAAATAAAAATGTGTGGGTGAACGGTTAGTACCGCTCGGGGACTCGGTCCGAAATAAGTGAGCCCTGTTCTCCGCAAGGAAGGAAGGAAGAAAAACGCTGCCCGGCAGGCTCGGCGCTGCCCCCGCTCGGGCCGGCCACCCCCGCTGGGCCCCGTGCCCCAAGAAGCGTCGTCTCCAGTCTTCTCTTTCCCGCTTCGTCCTGCAGTGGGAATCATCTTTTCGGAGAGACACCCTCAGGAGCTCGAGTCAGCCCTATTTTGGAGAGAGACGAAAAATGTCGGTGAAATATAATACGGGCCCAGCCAGAGCCACGTGTGACCGTCTGATGTGAATTGACAAAAAATATTTGTGGTTACATAAAAGGCATCTCAGGCTCCTTCTCCATCACACCCTGCTCTTCCATCACCCCCACGCCTCCATGTAGATTAACTCGCTTTATCTCACTGACCAGTCCGGCTGCCCCGCATGTGATCACCCCGACGGGCCCTGTGCCCGCAACGACACCCTCGCCTGGGCAGGGTCCCCGCAGCCCGGGGCTCAAACCTTTAGGAACTCGCGGAGGCTTAGMGACCCCCGCGCAACCCACGGAAAGGCGGGGGAGGCGGGAAARGCCCGGGGACACACATACGGACAGTCAGCATCAAGAGCCCTCCGTCAGAGACCAGCAGGCAGGCAGGAGGCCGGGCCAGGCAGGGCGTGAGCGGCAGCCGAGAAACACTGCCTCACCCTGCGGAGGGGCGCAAAGGGGCAGCGGCTGCTTCCCCCATCCGCGCCAGACACCCCCGCCCCGCTCATGTGCGCCCCAGCGGGGCGTTAACTCCGCGGGCCAGCGCCGTCCCCAGCGGTGCCCGGGCGGATCCGCGCTGTCCCGAGCGCGGGCGCGCAGAGCGGGGCGCGGCGGCGGCGCAAGGGTGGAGCGCGGGCGCCCTCTGGCGGCGCACGGCGGCAGCGGCAAGCAGCGCCCCCCGCTCCGCTCCGCGCTGGCCCCGGCCCCGCCGGCCCGAAACTCAAACTGCGGCACACCGGCCGGGCCGTGCTGACCGATTCTCCCTCCCTTTGCTTGCTGGTTTGGGGCTGGGATTCTTCCTTTTTCTTTTCTTATTTTCTTTTTTTTTATAGTTTCTTTTTTTTTTCTTTTTTTCCCGTTAAGTTTGCAGTGCCATTTTCTTAGCACATTTCGGTGACTCTCTTTTCTTTTTTTGCCAGAGCTATAATTAACTGCATACAAAGAATGCGCCTCGTTTACACATGGCAGCCAGGAAAGACGCCTGAGCTTTGAAGACGACTGCTATCGCGTTTTCGATCATGTTTCCCCGCATATTACACCACGAATTCGCCATGTGTGGTAGTTTCAGAGTTATACGTTTGTGTATTGAAGATGTTATTTTGTTTGCCCCTGTTTTTATATATTTATGGATTGATTTATGTAAACCAAAGTAAAGATGAATCTTTGTTCACCCCCTCCTWCATCACACATGCCTGTGAGTTATTCGTTATAAATACGTGTGCACGAGACTGCGCATATGTGCAAACATATATTAACACAACCAACGGGTAGAAATTAAATTATTCAGTGTGACACTAAAAGCAATTTCCACAGATGAACTGCTTTTTGTCGATCGAGATGTTTTGTTGTCTTTCTGCCATTTCGAAATAAATGCACGCAATTTTTAAAAACAGGTAAACAAAAGGGGAAAAAATATACGAGGTAAAATGTGTCAGTCTGCCTGATATAAAATACTAAAAAGATGGTGCGGGCTTATTGAAAATTTCTTAACAGAGCCTCTGCTGAAATCAACATAATGCAGTTCTGTGTATAAGAATATTGTTTATGTGTTGTTATAGATCACCTCCCTCTAGGGTATTCGGGAAAATGTTAAGGCTGGCATCATAGGATTCATTGCAGTAGAATATTCAATAAAATACATTTCAACAAATAAGTGGACTTCGTAAAATCTCTCTGTTTCGTGACCTTCAGGTCCTTTTTGAGTCTGTTGCCTTGGCCCAACGCTGACATATTGAAATTTATGGTACAAGGTTTTAAGACCTAGTTTGTCTGCATTTTTTTGCCTTTTTTCCCCCCTAACAAACACAAACATCAAAATAAGGTGCTTTCAAAGAAAAGTGCCATAGCATATCGTAAAGTCATTAGGTCCAGACGTCTAGCCATCTCAATGGTTTTATTATACCACAGTTCTTCCTGTTTTAAAAGAATTATAGGTATCTTCTCGACAATAGATGGGAAGCAATGCAACACCTTTTCCTGGCAGTGCATGCTTTTGCTTTTTTTTTT